ATATATATCCTTTTTAGTCCTAGTTGTCATAAAAACCATTTATAGGAGAGCGGTCAGTACTTAACCGTAATTGCCGAAGCCTGATTCAGATCAAGAGCTGATGATGTCATACAATCCACACAAGAAACAAGTTATCAGTTTTTAGTGGGAGGGTCTGAAGAAAAACACATAATAATTATGCCATGGAATAGCGGTCTGTGACGATTCGTTTTAATTAAATATATTGGAACTCAAAAAAATATTTAAAAAAAAAATTTAATGTCATGATCGACCTTTTGAAATTCGCCATGCTTCCACGTTGTCTGCAGATAGATGTTTTTGATATTCTTGAGTTGTTTTGTTTTTGTTTTGCGCGTTAGATTTAGGACGGTTTTTAGCTGTTGCTGTTGATTTTTCTTTGTTAGTTTGTTAGTGGTTTTTTGTTGTTTTTTGGGGGGAAGGAGTGGGGCGCTAAAAATGTCTTTAAGCTTTTCTGTAAGCTTTTGCACAAAAGCCACAATCCATGTATTTGTTCTGTTTCTCTTCATTAAGTAGCTTCCCTGAATGCCCTGATACGTATTAGGTGGGCACAGCGATATTGACGTATCTAAACGTGACACTTTATGCTGAGAATAAAACAAACTATTTGACGTTATAATGTAGGCATGCGTGTAAGTAAGTATTTCTGTCTTAGTGTGCGTGTACATATACGTCTGTTTGTATACGTTTGAATGAATATATAAATCGAAACGACATGGATCCATTAGCACGTTTTCTACTCCTTTATTGCACACAGTCACTGATGCCATAGTAGATCCTCACCGCCAACCAAAAATAAACCCCAACAACCCCCCCCCCTCCCAAAAAAGGCCAATAAAAGAAGAAGAAGAACAACAATACTATTAAATAAACTAAAAACAAACCCTCTCCCGTTCTCTCTTTCCAAATCCTTTTCCTGCTGACCTTTCAGTCCATAACTCTAATTGTAACCAGGACGCTATGCTCCTCTACCCCGCCCCCTTCCCTCCCTCCCCACTCTTACCCCGAGTCCCTCCTGAAACTTCCTTTTCTACCAGTTCCTGATATCAATGGCCCTTTCTTCTATCCGTTTGGCCCTGTCGACACCCTGCTCTCGGTCTCGCTCTCTAATCTGTGACAAATAGACATGTACCCAGGGGTAGGCTGGCAGTACACCCTGTCAAGCCAGTAGCGCACTCTGTATTGATCGTTAATATTGGCTTAGAACTGGCATTCTTGCAGCGCACCAGAGAGAGAGAGAGAGAGACAGAGAGAGAGAGAGAGAGAGAGAGAGAGAGAGAGAGAAAGAGAGAGAGACCGCATGTGGATTACGTTTTATTCCTCAGGGGGATTTTCAGAATCAAGGTAATGTTTGAGAGAGGTATGGAAGGGTGTTACTGGGTTGATTTAGAATAATAACTTTTGAAATCCCTCTACGCGAACTAGATAATAATATTATGTTATTACGACGGACAAAAATAATTCTGGGCTTATGAAGCAGGAGAGAATCAGGCGTCGTGCCATTGGTATGTGGAGGAATATGAAAGTGAGTAGAGTAAGTGTTGCGGATTGATTGCATGCTTATTTTTATTTTTGATGTCATTTTCTTTTCTTTCCTTCTTTTTAAAATATTTTAAAAGCTGTTTTTCGGGAAGGGGGGGGTGTCATCATATTTTGTTCTCTACCTTTTTTATGTACACATATATTATACTATTTATGTTTTGTTTTTCGTGTTTTATTAATTGTGGTATTTATTAATTCTTTAAAGAATGTTACTGCGCAATTGGTGGCTGGAGTCGATGTTGATTGTAAGAGAGCGCATGGTGTGGTCTGCTACTTTTACTTCTGTTTTGTATTTTTGTTATTCTTATTAATTCCAAGCAAAATGTAGCCGTTATTGTGCTTTCTCAGGATCAGCTGTATCAAAACAACAGCTAATAGGCCTATATATTTCAGCGGAATTTAACTTTCACGCTTTTTGTATACCAAGTGCCATGTGAAAAATAAAAATCAAAAGCACGAGCTTTACTAGAACTCTTCTTCATCCTCTCGATCACATATAAATGGACATACTAGTATCTAGTGCGAAGGTTGATTGGTGTTCCACCCGGGTACACTGTAAAGTTTAGGTTCTCCCTGGGTTGGACCAATATTTTCTTCCTAGTGCCTTGAGCATTAGGCTGGCTTGTGATAGATGGTTTCCCGTTTGGCTGCCTGTTCTGGAAACCTTAGTTTATTGATATTATGTATATAATTACATCTTCTCACTCCTGTGAATGGATAGGGAGTGGGAGAATTTTCAAATGGTTGCTCTTCAGCAAGCTTTCCTGCACCCACCGCAAAAGCTGTGTGCACAGACTAAAATTACAGACTGCACGGTCCAGCACCCACAATCTCCTTGATGGGACTATACAAAACCACTCACCTGTACAAGTACTTTTCTCTTTGACCTACTACAACTCTAAAGCTTATTCAAACGTAGTTTTGAAAGCGTTTTTGTCTTTTTTTTTACCGCCTGTAACCGTAAATTGAAAACGCCACACGGCATCGTTCTTAATAATAATATGAAAAAAGGGAACGTTTATTAAAAGTTGGTCTCTGAACTAACTGACTACGAAATGGTAAACCTATGACTCTTCAGTGTACGCTTACTTTGTTATACTCTTCTTATTCATAATTCAAGAACGTTTGTGTGTGTGTGTGTGTGTTTGTGTGTGTCTGTGTGTTTGTGTGTGTGTGTGTGTGTTTGTGTGTGTGTATGTGTGTGTATGTGTGTGTATGTGTGTGTGTGTGTATTTATGTGTGGGTGTGTTTGTGTGCGCGCTTCTCGTTGTACATAATATTATGCATCTCGGTGTGGGTGTTGACCGAAATGGGTGGGTGGGGGAGTTTTCTTATGTAGGAGATGAGGCTGGGTTGAAAACAAGTTAGGTACCTAAATCATCCTCTGTAATTCAATTTACTAAAACTGACTAGATGGGAGGTTTTGAATATTGTATTACATCATTGGTAAGATGCTCGTACAGGAAAATTCGTTTTTGTTGCTGCTGTTGTTGTTGTAGCTGTTGTTGGTTTTTTCTTTGTTTGTTTGGTCTGTTTTTTTTATTGCAAATTTTAAACCTTTTACATTATAGCACACACAATATCATTATTGCTCGTGAAACCTGCTTTCACTGTATATTATATATATATAATATATATATATATATATATATATATATATATATATATATATATATATTATATATATATATGTATATTCGTAGTTCTTGATCGGAAACTGGATACACATAATAACTCAGTCTCATGACCATTTGCAGATAAACGATATCGGGATATCTGAAATTAATCTCTGGTCAAACGTACTTACTATCCTTTATGTGAAACCTTTTACGTTTTTATGGGGTCAAAGTGTTTCTCTGCTTCGTCAAGCATGACTAAATAAGCGCTCGTATCTACCCGATTGCTGAGGCAAGTCAAAATTGAAAGAGACTACGTGTCTGCCTTTGCATTTTGTTATGAGTTCATTATCATAATGAGTCTCTCTTTGAAGAAAGAGACGTATAAATACATAGTAACGATCATTTCGTCAAAGGAAAAATGAGATAAGTAAAGAAGAAAAGAGGGAAAGAAACCAAAGAAGGAACGTGAGAGAGTGAGACCATTAAAGGCACCCTGCTACGAAGCTCTGTCTTTATATGAAAATAAAGCATAATGAAGAAAATAAAATAAATGCTGAGAGCAGGGTTTTTATTTGGATGGGGACTGTCAGAATGTTTAGACAAGTGTTGTTGATAAATAAAAAGGAATGTATGTGTGTGTTTGTGTGTGTGTGTCAGTAATTTCTATAGTCTTATTTCAGTTTTGAATTGTTAGGAAGTTCTTCCATCCTCTAAAACTCGACAAGGCACTGATTGATATTGAAATCCAGCAAGCTAGCAAACCTGGTCGTTAAGATCTAAGGTAATATTCCAATGCCGAAGATGAAAATACGAAAAAGATTAAACCTTGGGGTAATGCCACTTTATACATATTGAAGTTGTACTTATACACGGCTCTTTGGGGAGGGGGGGATGAGAGGGAGAGGGGAATGCTGAAATATGTATCAGGTAGTTTTAGTAGCTTCTTTTTAAACGATCCAAAAACAAATTTGGAAATCCTTTCAAAACAACACGTGTCAAGGGGCAACTGTTATATCGACTTTACAACATGGCGCACACGGACAAAGCTGCGCTGAAAGTTTTTTCACACCTTGACTTCGTAAATTGCGGACCTTGCCACGTTGATGTGAGGAAGTATTGAAAACAAATCTGGATATCCCGAGTACCGCCCAAATGGCCCAGAATAACATGGTATTGGGTTTGAACTACTATTAAACATAATTAAAGTATAATAATTGATGTCCCAACCACTTGCTTTAAAGTTTGGCCAAAGGCGTAAAGATCCTTGGAAGGTTTGGTTCTAGGTGCTAGGTGTATAAAAGCACAAAAGTAATAAATGGAACATGAGAGAACTAATGTTTCATTGTTACTTTTCAGTAAGTCTTTCGTTCAAAAGAGGTGTGAAAAGAACATGATAACTCTCGTGTAGCAAGAAACATTGGATGCTGGTTCCAACCATGTTCACAAAACTGGATGATTTAAAAAAATTTAAAGATTTTGTTTTTTTCTTTGGGAGAGGGGTGTTTGTTTGCTTTGTTTGCTTTGGGTGATTTCTGGGGAGGAGCGGAGGGTGGGGCGGGGTATTAATTAAAATACGATATCTAAAATGACTTTCCGGTAACAAAGACGACGAAGTGCAACATTGTGTATTGAAAAAGGACCTGTGATTCTTTGAGATCTAAATATATCCCCATGAAGTGCGTGACATTGTGCAGCTGGCAGACTGCAGCTCTCCGATCCTACAGTGTACAGAAGTGACTATCCTTAAGATGCAGACTCCCCATAAGAACAGGTCAAATAAATAATTTATTGGTCAGATCCAGGCCAATGTAATAGCTTTATTAAGAAGGTGGTGTTTTCTGATTTCCGGGCCATATTAATAATGACTGATCTGAACGTACACTTCATGAAAACCGACTTCGACGACCAATTTTCTATATTCCCTCGTCAGCTTATGCCAAGAATAACTCAGCTCACACATGTATTTATATTGCTGTTAGTAGGGGTTTGTTGGGTATTTTTGTCCATCAGTTATCCACAAAGAAGAGGTAGGGGCTACTACAAGGACGATGAGATTATGTCATCGTATTAAATAATACAACGCCTCGTGGTGAAATCAAGCGCTCGTCAAAATAGGCATTTCCCCCGTCCGTTGGGCAATTTTATCGAATTTTTAAAAAAAAAAGTTTTTTTTTTTTGGGGGGGGGGTTGTTTGGCTGAAAACTTTATACCTCCATTTAAATACATATTTCGGTGTGAGTTTTTGTTGGAAAATGTTGTTAAAAGGCATAATGATGTAAATTTGCAGTTTCCGAGGTCAATCAAGCTTTAGAAATGACAAAATGTTGGCTGCTATTTTCTCGCTAATTTTACCTCTGATAACGGGCGACCCTCACCTCCTTCCATAGCAGACCTTGACTTCTTTTCGAAATAGATAGGTATTTTTTCATATTACACAAGAGGAATAAACAAGTTTTCAAATGAAACTAATAACTCCACCCGTATGCCCCAAAACTGACGAGTCCCCCGAGTCCACCGCCTCGTGACACATTATGATTTTTCTCCTTCTTTGTTGTTTTATCTGTACCTGAAACCCATGTTATATTATTGTTTACGCCACAGCTGTCAACAAACCTGTGCTCGACATAACAATTAATATGTAAGGAAGTACAGAAAGTACACAGACTCTCAATAACTTCCGTCTCTCTGCTGCGTCTCTTTTCTTTTCAAAATTTTATTTGGGCGTTACCGCTTTACGTTTTGAAAACTGTAATAATATGTGCTTATTCAGCGGATTTGGGCATGCCCGGCCCCAGCAAAGAAAGCAAAGAAAGGGGTTGTGAGAACAGAATGCAAAGGAAACGAAAAGAGAGAGAGAGAGAGAGAGAGAGAGAGAGAGAGAGAGAGAGAGAGAGAGAGAGAGAGAGAGAGAGAGAGAGAGAGAGGAGACTGTCACGTCAAAAGACATTTGGGAATTAAAAAGACAGAACATTTACCATCACATCGTCCGTGGGAAAACCTTGGTCACGAGCGAGACAAGCCTATGTGTACTTTGTGATCAATATTGTGCGCGGTTTGAACAGCTCTTCAGTTGTGTCCTATTCTTCGTTTCCGTCAGTGAACAATATTCACCGTTTACAATTTCACACTTGTTGCAGTATTATTTAAATTGCTTATTTTATGTACACATAATCCCTGTTGCTTTTGTCTGTCAAAAGAATTCTGTCCTTTTTTTATTTCTTGTTTTCCTCTTCAGATTTTTTGCCACCCATATTTGGGTTTGATTTCAGCTTAATTCTCACAAACCCAAAACGCCCAGGTCTGTTTGATTTCAGCCTTATTTTCCCACACCCAAACAAACAGGCCCGACTGATTTGGGAATAATTCTCACACACCCAAACAAACATGTCCGACCAATTTTAGCTTAATTCTCAACAAGTATACGCTAGTTTATCAGCATGACGAGAAGAGCTGCAGTATTAATGAAGTTGTCTATTCATTGAAAAAACAAGAATGAGCTTGAGGAACTCAAGCAATTTTCGTAAGGGATTCTTCCTCGCTTTAACGCTCAGGGGAACAGGAATTTCATTATTGTCTTTATTGGGAGCTGTTTCGGGACTGGAGAGGGGGGATGGAAGGGGGGGGGGGGCAATCTCTATCTCATGGTCTTTTGAAAGGCGACTCTTTTACTTCTTTTAGCGACTGACGTCGAAGGCTTTGGCAATCACAGTTTTATGGGAACTTGGTCTTGACCCTTAAATTCTTCTTCTTTTGACTTAACCCAAATCATTGTTAGCTACAAGTTATCCCTGACGTCCTCTTTTATTTATTTACATATTAGCTGGAGTTGGAAAAAACACAAACTCTGTCACCTAATGCGACGGTGTGCAAGACAGACAGAGAGAAACCTAAATTAATGAAGAAATGTGAAGAATTGGAACCGGTTTCTGTGGTGTTGTGGTTACGAGCGTCGCCGTTGCACGCAAATGACCAGAAACTCGATCCTGTCTGGGATGAAATTTTACTAAGCATCTTGGTTTTTTCTGCTGCTATGTTGCATCCCATTCAGTTCTGACAGGCAGGGTCAAAGACGCCTCTTAGAGCAGGCTAAAAAGTATGTCGGTTGGAGCGTAAAAAACCTTTATTTAATACAAAGAAATAGCTGTAGGACCACAGACGTCCCCAAATCACTCTTTAAAGATCTCCCTTGGGAATGAAATTAGAAAATTTTAACACTATGTTTTTCAGCAATTTTAAGAAATTAAATGCAAACTGAAGAAAGTTTTAAAGCAAATGGATTCTCAACTGAGTTGGTAAACGCTTATATAAATAGATTTGGAATCCAAATTACAATATAGGATATTATGAGTTTACGTTTTGCAGAACAATACAAAATACCACACGATTAATGGATGAATTCTTAAGTGAAGTAGACAGACACCATTTTATGGCACGACGGTCTCTCAAAATCCTTTATTTTCCTTGAGAATTGGTGATGTAAAAAGCCATTGTGCACCAGTATTCCACACAAAGATGACTACTTCGCCGAGAAGTGGTAATTGCCACGTAATGTTGATGTTGTGGACATTGCCCATTCACTTTTTTTTCTGTCAGATCTTTTGACTTCTCCAATGCTGCTTGTCTGTGCGCAACATGATAATGATTGGTCTGAATTGGTGTCAAGGCAGACGAGTCGCAATTTACTTCAAGTTATAGGGAAATCCCTTTCGGATATGATGTCTTTTCTCCCATGGATTATATAGATTTATGTGTGCAGTTATGCATTGGGTTATTATTTAAACATATGATAACATAAATTATTACACATTTTGCTCGGGGGGTTCAAGTCTAGACGTACGATGTTCGCCTCTCATTCAATAAGTCCCGGGTTCGAAACTCGAAAGCGTCTGAAAATGTTCTCTGAAATTTTCTATCTTCACCTTCTTTCCTGCTCTCTTATCTTGTTCTGTCGTCTGCCTTCGTCTCCACTTAAAAAAAAAATTCCTATCAAACTGAAAATGTTTAATCCTATCCGTACGCCCTGGGGTCATTTTGTACTCCCAGGGTTGTATTATTCACATTTTAAAATACTTACACTACGAATATCTCTTTGAAACTTTCAGTATTTCTCAAATAATCATTTTGACAAATTGCTACGCAAAGCGTACGGATCGGATTAACGAGTACATTTCCTCTTTGGAAAGTGGGGGCACGATAGTAAAATACGACGTAGGGATAGGGTTAATGTGTCTCGTGCATTCAAATGACATATTATGCGGTTGCGAGCCCTTACCCCCCCCCAAAAAAAAACAACAACAAAAAAACAACAACAAAACCCAACAAAACAACAACAACAACAAAACAAACAAAAAACAACAAACAAACAAACAAACAAACAATAACCATGTTTTGCTCAGAGACACACTAACAAGTGCTATTCTTGCTGTCATCGGTTCGTTCTTCTGAGTATGTAATATTTCGGGATTGAATTTTTTTTTTTAGTAAGCATTGTATGGCACTTGCAATACATCATACAAGTGCCGAAGGTTAGATGTGTTACAAGAGAGTAACGGACGAAAAGAGGAAGAAGAGAGATAAGTACATTAGATGTTTGATAGGAAAGAAAGATCAAACCACACCAGAGCACCTGCCAGCCAGTAATGGAGAGAGTTAATCTGTGATGAGAGCATTAAACCTGTATATTAAAACAAGGGATCCCAAAAAACTGTAACTTTCCCATTTTTTCTTTTTTCAGTGACAAGGTAACAATTTCGACCAATGGATTGAGCACTCGTCTGACGTACCAACGTGTCCCCATAGTAATCGAGCGTGTCCAAGCTTAACCAACAGTGCTGGCCACTGTTCATAATACTAAGAGGCAAAAATGTCACTGGACCCAGACGCTATCGGACTCATAGCAGCAGGATGCGTAGTCTTCCTCTTCCTGTTTGTCTGTTCGATGGTCATAGCATGCAAATATTACCGGTGAGTTACATAGACTCAGACCCTATGTGGGGTACACAAAAATACTTTCTATTAATAGATTACTTTTCTAAATCAATTGTGTCTTTTTTTCTCTTATATTTTGTCATTAGTATAGCTCACGACTCTTACGTTGTGACAATCCATTATGTGTTGCAAGAACAACTCAAGACCGTATGTATGGAAAACACTGTCAATACAGACCCGAATTTTACAAGATTAGACAGTTTGGGAACAAGAGTTCATAAATTACCCCTGAATATGAGCAATTTGAAAAGACACATTTGCATAAAATTCCTCTCAGTTGCTCAGGAATGATTATTATATTCATTCAAATCCTTCACCGTTACCATTAATGACACTGAAGACAATTTTAACAACAAACGTTGTTTATAATGGGACAAAAAATCGAGCGAAATTTCAATAGCTCCTCCTGTTAACGTTATCTTCTTATATTCCAAGACATCCCCAAATCCATCTGTCCATCCTCGTTCCTTTTTTATTTTCCTATCCAGAATACACACACAAACACACACATATACACACAAACACACGCATACACACGCACACACACAGACATACACACACAAAAACACATATACACTCTCATACACACATACACTTACACACGCATACGTATACATTTTTTAAATACACACACAAAATACACACACACACACACACACACACACACATACACACACACACACACACACACACACACAAAGAAACACACTCAAACATACACAAATACACCCACATTTCTATACGGTGTTTATCCAAATCAACACAATACATATTGAGAAAAAGAAGACCATCATTTCTAGAATCAAGCTTATGCATGTACCTGTCTCTTGCTATTAATCGACGAGACAGACATTTTATCAATTTCAGGTATCAGAGTTCTGTAAACACGCTTCTACAGGCTTCGCCTAACCAAAAATCAATAATCTATAATTTTCAGTCATATGGATTCTTCTTGCAACTACCCCACTCTCCCCACACTCATTTGATTTTTTTCTGAGATTCTGGAATTCACACTTCCCGTCCCCTCTCCTCCCAAAAACATGATTGCCACCTCCCCCCACACAAAAAAAACACAGGCACACATACACACCGGTGTACACACACACGCAGAAACACTCCCTTTTAAATCAGCCATTTTGCGTAACGATTCGTAACGATTTATAGCTCCAACACTGTTCACATGCTGGCTGCGGGGAGAGGCTGGATTCCTGATATTGAGCAACACTCGAAAAAAAACCTTTCTCATAAATGATTGATCCTCAATGCAGGACCCCCAAACGGACTAAAATACCCTTGTGTGATTTCTAGTACCTCGTTAAGTGCCACCTCAGCAATTACCTACTGACCTCGTAATATTTCCAGACAGCTGCCAAACGAATTCTATTACTGAGTTAATAGTATGGAAAATAGAAAATGCTTACATTGGATGCTAGAAGGCCGTGCATCTCCTCAAAGTTTTACTACTACGAGGCTATGATCCAGAGTGTATTTTCAGCACGCTTAGAGGTCGTTTTGATTTGTGCAGAAACTGTTCTTTGAAACTTGAGTTCAAATTATGTGTAGTTAGTCTTGTCTATAATCGCTGCTACACATTTACAGTTTCTTTTTTTTTCTATTTATTTATGTTTTTCTTTAATAATATGCAGGATAAATTATATTTATACTCGCGCAGAAAACAGAGAGGTGTGGCATCTCTTCATCTGGAAGATGGGTGTTTCGGTAATGAGAGTAGAGAAGAACTGACGGAAGAAAGAAAAGAGCCAGGACGACGTGTCATAATAAATATCTTTCACGTACTCATGAGCACATATGTGTCGGCAAATGTTATTCGCCATTATCGGGTTATACCACTATCGGGGAAAGAACACGTTCATTAATCAGAAATACCTTTTTGTTTCTAATTGGATAAAGCTGGAAGCCGCCCCCCCCTCCCCCCAAACTCGCCAGCGTGTCTGTCTCCCTTTTTCACTAAACAGAAAAGTCGCACGTGGCATGACCACCAATGAAACGCCTATGTCCAACAGGTGATTGAAAAGCCTTTAATTCACAAGAATATGAATAGCCATAAGTTCCACTACATGGTTAAGAAAATTTGAAACTAGCTCCCTCCGTCCATAGTGAGTTCACCCAATCTTCGTCTTCTTTTTTGCGCTCCTCAATTCGTACCGGATGAAGACCGTTTCATGCATACGAAAACAACCGTAGGTTTAAAAAACAAGCAAAAAGGAAAAACAACAAACTCAAAAAAACCCAACAAAAACAAACAATCACACAGAACACAGAACAAACATAGAAACAAATAAACTAACTAAATAAACTCATTTTCGGCCATGTTGTCATACTCAGGTGCGTAGAGAGAAAACGATTGGAAAAGTTAGCCAACATGCCAGCGCCATACCCTCCTAGCTACTCTGTGGAGCCGCCACCACCCAGCCAATCCTCACACAGCGGTATACCTTTCAAGCTCGCCAACTACACGTACGTAATGTATTGAGAAGTTGACCTTTGATGGCCAACTCAGCACGTCAAATTTCGTTTCCATCATCATCATCCTCATCCTCATCCTCATCATCATCATCATCATCATCATCATCAGCAGCAGCAGCAGCAGCAGCAGCAGCAGCAGCAGCAGCTTGATTGCAATGAGGATTATGATGATGACTATAAAATGAATGTTTTTACTACTATTTTATGGTTAACATTATGGTTATGAATACGATTGTTACACGTATTATTATTATAGTAGTAGTAGTAGAAGTAGTAGTAGTAGTAGTAGTAGTAGTAGTAGTAGTAGTAGTAATAGTAGTAGTAGTAGCAGTAGCAGCAGTAGTAGTAGTAGTAGTAGTAGTAGTAGTAGTAGTAGTAGTAGTAGTAGTAGCAACAGCAGTCAATAGTAGTAGCTATTCAAGGTTCGTTCGATTTCGCGCAAAAACGTTTTTTTGCGTTTGAAGGTGACTCAATGTATAAAGTGTTTTGGATTGTGTAGATAGTATTATTGTTTTTTCCAGACCAAAAATCTTCGGTACAACGATGTCTCAAGAAGAGCTGCTTAAGTCGGGAGGTGAATGCTGGTCTGAGCCAGAGAACAGAAGACAAAATAAATATCAGAAAAAAGAGCAACGTCGACGGAAATACAGCACCGACACTGAAATCAAGACTGCAAACGTTGATGGCAAGATCGTATCCATCGTGAACGTCAATGGGGGTTACAGAGACGATGAAGACGATGATGACGGTAGACCAAACGGACATTGGGTGTACGATCACAACTCACCTGGTCAGGGGGGTTTTGTCGTCAAGGGTTACATGGTTCAAGGACATATTGTTCCCGAGCAATACCCTCAAACTGTTCAGCAATCTCAATTCTATCAGGGTCACCAGCTTCCTCAGAGAGAAACTGGCGGTTTTCCAGTGATGCACAGCCATGTAGTGGCAACACCCGAGCCTGTTCAAAGTGAAGGTCAGTTTGCCTTTCCTGGGGACCGCGAACCCGAGGCGGAAGTCGTGAGAGGTCATTATGTGACCCCGAGTGACGGTCACCCCGTACGCGGTCATGTGATAAAACAAAACGTGAGCGTGGAAGAGGACGGGAAAGTTCTCGTGACCTTGAGACAAGACGGAAGTGACGTCATTCAAAGTCAGACCACGATCTCACAAGCTGAATTGGAGGGTAGCAGCTACGAAAGGCAGAGTGCAAATGCCGTTTCGAACATCACGACTGTCACCCAGCAGGCAGAGGCCAAACCAGTAGAGACGACATCAGAAGTTGTGACAGATGTTTACTCTTTTGCAAAACGTTCAGAGGAACCGATCAAAAGGTTTGTACCGTAGTCTCTTGCCCTTTATGAAAGCTGTCGAGAACGTATTTAAAAAACTTCCACATACATCCTAATGAATGAAACAATCAGTCCTAAAATATTAATACTATCATTCAGAAAAATTCAATTACACGTTGTATGTCTCATCTTACTTTTGAACTTCCTGATTATCAATCTTTTCGTCTGCCTTCCGTTCCAAAATCCCATCAAGTCATCCTTGTGAGTGTGTGTGTGTATGTGTGTATGTGTGTACGTGCGTTTGAGTGTGTGTTTGTGTGTTTGTGTGTTTGTTTGTGTATGTACATTTGTGTGTATACGTGCACGTATGGGTTTGTGTTTGTCGATGAATGCTGATGCATGTGTCTGTAACTATTTCATTCTTGTTATCATCCAATATACTGCTTGTCGTCTATGATCTGTCAACCCACCAACCCATGCATGCTTACTTTCGTAAACTCACCAATACTAAACATCAATTCTCAGACAAGAAGCAGAATTAACACGCTCGCTGATCACACCAGAGGAACGCGTGGTGACTTGGCCGCAGCAGGAGCAGACGAGCACCGATGTCATAGCGGCCATTCCGACTGTCGACCAGACAGTGAAAGCCTCGGACTTCGACAGACAGGCGCTGGAGGTGGAAAGTGTGCAGGCTGTGCAAGGCGCACCAATGCTGGGGGTCCAGGGGGCCGTGGACACGGGTGCTTCGAATCAATCAGAGAACTATAAAGGTACTTCACGTTAGCTAAACCATTTCAGAAACGATTGTTTGTATATATCTTCTTCTTCTTCTTCTCTCCCGTGGTTGGGGCAACCGTTGAGGCACCACTGCATTGGAAAACCAGCTCTCGCCATCTATTTTTGTCCTCTGCTCTCCTCAGATTGTCACCCATCGTCTTTCCTGTCCACTCTGTAATGTTGTCCTCCCATCTCCTTCTCTGCCTTCCTCTCTGTCTCTTTCTTTGTACGGTTCCTTGCAGGATTGTTTTGGCAAGTCCTGTGGATCTTGTGACATGCCCATACCATTTTAGTTTTCGTCTCTTCACTGTGGTCAGTAGATCTTCATATTGCCCCACTGCGTTGGTGATTCTCTTTCGTACTTCAGCATTTGAAACGTGGAGCAAAAGAACGAGAAAAACAAACTATTTTGGCCATAACTATAAAACCATCAATGGTGGAAGACTAAGGTTTTGACCATCGACAGTATATCATATCCTCTTAGGAAACCAGAAGTCGACCGTCTTGCTTGTCACCGGCAACTACAGTTATTGCCCTTTAATTGAAGCATGGAAAAAGCCACGTGATTCTCTCGAAACACCGTCTAAATGAGGTTAAAGGGTGAAAAGTATTCTCCTGAGCTCGGCTATAAAAGCTATAGTACAAAATCGGTAGGGTCATTTCGCCTGCATTTGCTACGACAATGCCACGTTTACGGACTATATAGCAAGAAATAGCAATAGGCCGTTTGGAGGGTGGAGAAAGGCAAATTATGTTGCCAATCATTTTGGTGTTCACATATCGACTATCCACAGACTCATTACCCGTTTTCAGCTCACGAATTTTACATCGGACCGAAAAAGGTCAAGTCGACCCAGAGTGACCGATGCACGAATACATTGTCCGGGTGTATCGTTCAAATTGACTTCAGGCAGCTACTAGAACATCAGATTTCATAAGGGGTACCAACGGAAGAGCCATACATCGACACACAGTAAACCGACGATTACGTCAGGTACTCCTTAGACGCCGTCAACCTCACCATCGTCAAGAGCGTTTCAACTGGGCCCAGCACCATGTCAAAAGTCGTCTGAGAGACTGGTCTTTGGCTCTCATTTTGGGACGAATGCCTGTTTCCATAGATCCAATAAACAGGGATCTCAGAGTTTATAAAGAGAAAGGTAAACGTTATCGTGACAACTGTGTTATAGAAAAGAATTGCTGGGAAGGACAGTACGTCGTGATCTGGGGTGGAAACACGTGGATCCACAAAGTATGACCAATGATCTTCCAAAATCAAGGCCAAGGTTGAAGTCAAGGTATCCATGCTGCCCGTTGCATAGCAGACGTTCTTAGGCCCCTCATCACAGTCAAAATTTTACCTCCCGGTTCCAGCCTGATAATGCTAGTGCACACACTTCCCGTTTTACACAGGATTTCCTCCAACGCCATGGCATCACTCTGCAGCCTCACCCTGCCCTCAGCACGGATTTAAACCCAATTAAGCCTTTTTAGGACGAAATTAATATACGCTCCGAGGGGAGACAACCAAGGCCGAGTCCCATCCATGAACTGGATGTGGCCATCCAGGAGACATGGAGGCAGATCCCACTACGTTTTATCAACAACCTAGTGGCTTCCTTGAACCGGAGATCTGCTTCAGTTATCCGATCTAATGGTAGCCAAAACCATTACTGAGCATTTCGATACATTAACCGGAAGTTCAAAATGTATTCCAATAAAATTAAATATTCACAGTGATGCCCCACGTATCTTTTCATAATGCCAGAAAACAGTTTGTGTTTAAATTCCCTCGTTTTATTAAAAAGGGAAAACGAACATGATCATCATTACAAAGGTAAACAGGATTTTGCGTTTCTTTTGTTCGCTGGTACATTATTTTATATTACAGATAGATAGAACCCCAACAAGGAAAACAACCCTAATATGTTTTCAAACACCGTTTCTTTTTCATTTTTATAGGAATTTTGATGCACTATGAGTTCCAATTTAAGTGGATTTTAAGAACAAGAACTTTGATTTTTGTTGGGGGGTTTTTTTTTTTTCAATGAAAGTTTACGCCCCCGTCGGCACCACTTGCATGTCGATGATTGTCAGGAACAAGCCTGGCCGTGAGGGAAACAACTTCTAAGTAGAGAGATCGAATACTCTATAACAAATTATTCTTCTGTGCACGACGGAGAAACACATAACCGCTACACCACATGACGTGCGGTAAACTCGGTGTGTGGTTGTAAGTTTTGGCTGAGATAGTATTCCTGGAAGCACGCCATGTACCATTTTTAAAAACAACAACCCAAAAACGTTGCAACTTTTTCAGAATAATTCACTCAAAAGCTGTAGTAAAATGTTGTCATTTGGAACAGACGAAACCATTCAAAAGGAATTTGTTTAACATACAATTCGTGAAGATGAAACGTATTTCTGAAAACGAAAATGGCTTAAGGAAAAAAACACACCCAGAAACGTAAAATGTACATATTTAACCTCATCCTGATGCGAAATTTGCCATTCTGCGTGTTGCCAAGGTTTACAGACCATAACGACCTTGTAGCTGCGTCCTCTCCTACTGTTCTGCTAGTGAGGAAGAATAGATAAATCACTCCAGCGGGTGGATCTGAAAATGGATGGTTCTGAAATGTTCTTAGTCTAGTAGGACACTCAGTTTGTTAGTTTTGCAAAAGAATCACATCTTTTACTTTTAGATTTGGTTATCTTAAAACGGGGGTGCCGTGGCGGAGCGGTTAGTGCACTCATCTCCTAAGCGGAAAGTCTGGGTTCGAGCCTCGGTTCGGACACGGATTTTTTTCACCCCGTCGTGCCCACCCAGGAGTAATGGGTACCTGACTTCGAGTTGTTGAAATAAAGGCGGCGTGGAAAGGAACTGGCCACTCTACAACAATATGCCGAAGGCCCAAGAAGTTGCCTCACTAACAAGGCAATCCCCAATGTCCGGATCGGATGCGGGAACAGCTTTACTTTATCTACAAACATGGAGTGGATGAATCTTCATTTTTGTGTACGAATAAGTGATTTAATACCATCCACACGCCTCAGAAATGCCTTGTTGGGTACAAGAAACCAATTATATTATACTACTATAATACCCGTTTGTATATCACCTGCATGTGAGACGTACCATAATAGATGTATGTGCTTACATGTTTAAACATTTTAAAAATGCCTCTAACTAGGCCTTTTGGTCCTCTCATTTTGTAAGCTGTTCTTTAAAAAAGAATTCGTTTTGCCTCGCCTGTGAAATGAACAATATGGAAGTAATTACCCTTATGATTTTGTGATAAAAAGAACGAAGGGCAAATAATGGTTATCCAACTGCTTTCTAAATAAAGACTCAAACTGTTCTTTTTCCATCTCCAGTGATCAAGAAACATTATCACGTTGAGCATACCAAATTGCCAGACTGGTGAGTGCACTGAAATCTCGTTGATTTTTTTTCTTCTGTTGTTTGTTTCATCAGCAAATGGCTGAGGAATTGACAACGTATGTACTTGAAAGGGCGTTTGTATATCACGCGTGGGTCTGAGTGAGTAAGAGAGCGATAAACTGACCGACACAGTAACAGAACAAGACAATTGGAGACTGAACGACAGATAGACAGAGAAACAGAGAGGACTAATACTGGAGAGAGTAGAAATGAAAATCCTTGTTTTAGTTCATTAAAAAAAATGTTATGTTTCTGCTATTCGAAAGATCAGAATGGTTGTGTTGATGTCGCTTTACATGCAATACTGGGAGAATACCTGTTCCGTAAATATTATGTTTGTGGGTTTTTTAAAAATTGTACATACAACTAGATCTCTAAATCTGAATTACAGAGAGTTTTAATCTGATATCTTTTTCTTGGGATTTATAAATGTGTGAAGGGTGGTACAGATTTTTTTTTTAGATGCTCTTTACAACATTCATTATTGTAGATTAAAGTAGAGTGGGAAGAGAGAGTCTTGAGTAATGTTTAGTCAAACTAGATTCAAAAGAAACAGAATGCACTCGCATAATATAATTGTGTTTAGAGAGATAACTTGGAAGTCTGGCAATGCTGGCATTGATTTCTTTATTCTTTCGAATTAACCCCCAAGGCCTGGCTCACACTAAGTAACGCCCTGCCTACCTTGTAACTGACCCTTTTGTCAGGCCCATTTCCTTGATACAGATTATGTACATACAACCATGTTTTTTGAAGAAACCGTCGAGTGCTCTGGCATTACAATTTCCCTCCTTGTCTTCTAAAATTAAGTCTGTCTTTTTCTTCACCGTTGTATACTGTCCCAAGATGAACCTCCTTCAGACAAATGAAACTGTCTTCACGATAATGAACAAAGTCGTTCATTTCCATCTTGTTAGAACACTCTAAGCTCACCGGAGAGAAAATACAGGCTTCATTAGAAGGGGAATAACAACACAAAACCAGGAACTAAAAGATAGTATTGCTTGTGTCCCTTCGCTTACTTGCTTGCTGGATTGAACCATGAAACAAGGTTGTTTTATTTCAAAATATTTCTACTTAAACAAAGTAAACACGACTGAAAAAGTAGCATATATACAGCGTTGAAACGAACATAATGGCAGGTTAATGGAGGAAGAAAGATAGGGAGAGATAGAGATAGATAGATAGATAGATAGATAAATAGATAGATAGATAAATATATAGATAGATAGATAGATAGATAGATAGAGAGAGAGAGAGAGAGAGAGAGAGAGAGAGAGAGAGAGAGAGAGAGAGAGAGAGAGAGATAGGCGGGTAGATTGGGAAGATTGGGAGAGGGATGGGGGGAAGACTTTAATTGAGTTTGTGTGAGAGAGAGAGAGAGAACATGAACATAAAAAAGACAAAGAAATGAAAAAAACCAATATCAGGGCTTGCACAAACTCCCGAAAAAACAAAGCAACATCAACTAAAACACGCATTTACATGGGTGTAACTTTCCTACCTGTAAAGCAATACATTTTAATAATGAAATAGAACTAACAATTCCAAGGCAAAGTACAGTAATGTGTGTTGCGGCTCGATAAAACTTATGCGATTTAAGTCAATAAGAACTCATCTGTGAAAAAATCAAAGTTGTAGGAAAAACAAAATTATGCATCATTTGTACCATTTCTAAATAAAATCTTCTGCGAAATTGGTGTATAAACATGCTTATTTTATATATTCTTGAACCTAAGTAAAATGTAACAATTAATGGTCATCTCCGTTCGATCTGGGACTGGCATTGTTGCATTCTTAGGACGATTTTATATTTGAAAATATTTATTTTTACATTCATTGTTTTACTTTATGTGCTGTAGGCCTTGTATTCATAGCGTATAAAATAATTGATTGGCAGACAAATGAATGCTTTGACTTTTAATAATTTTTCAGTGTGTATTTTCACTACCCTACGTCATTCAAATAGGCATTGCTGTTGAACCTTTGAAGATATAAATGTACCAAAATTAAGTGGGATTTACTCAGAAAGGTATTTTAAATTATAGTATGTGCACATCCAAATAATAACATGCTTATCTTGACCTATGTGTAGGGTTTTAATTGTGCTGTCACAAAAATATCTCATTTGCTTTTTGGTATTTAAAAAACGCATCCGCATTTCTCCCTGATATTCACCAGACTGAAACACTTAATAGTAATAAATGTATGTTCATTCTTATGTGTTCATTTTTGTTTCCAGGATGATTCAAGAATACGAGGAAAACGTAAGTACATTTACGGTATAATTGCACGTGGTAATTATTGTATTCTTTGTGTTGACTTATTCGTTAAAAGTTAAATCGTGATGATTGTCTCTGGTCCCAGTCTGTTTATAACATCCCTATCTATCTATCTATCTATCTATCTATCTATCTATCTATCTATCTATCTATCTATCTATCTATCTATTTATCTATCTATCTATCTATCTACCCATCTATCTATCTATCTATCTATCTATCTATCTATCTATCTATCTATCTATCCCTCTATCTATCTATTTATCTATCTATCTATTTATCTATCTATCTATCTATATATTTATCAGGAGCGGCTCGTGGGGCTAAAACGTGGGCGTGCACAATAATAATTAAGCTGTCGCATGCTGAAGATAGTCAAGGGCACATCTAGTAGTTCATGTAAATGAGACGGTGTGTAATTTTAGGATCTTTCGGTTGGTGAGGGAGGGCCTCGTGCTTCTATTTTCATTCTTTTTACTTGTCGCTTTTATTTCTAGTGCTAAATTCATTTGTTAGCTAAACATCAATTTCGTTCATCATGTATTGGAACTGAGCACTCAAGTACATGTAATAGCTTTCACTGCTCCGCCACAAAATCACTCAAAACACAACTCATAGGATGGTCACGTTCACCTCCCTCAGGTTCACGTTTACAGAGTCACTTAAAATAGTGGCAGGACAAACAATGAACCAATCACAGTTCACTTGAGCACTCAGCTGGATTGCTCCGGGGCTCACATAATATTGGCAAAGAATAGCGTTGGGTCTATCGTGATTATTTTTAGACTGCCTACTGTGGGCTCTGTTTCGGCACTATTCGGCAGGAGCACATTTGAGATGTGCCGGCTTATTAATATTAATGTACCGCCAAACTCGCTATGAGTGTCGTCATCACTTGGATCATTCCCAAGAGCGATTTATAGGTCAGGTTACACTGTTGAATATCCTTTTCTGCTTAGCTAAAGCGCGTGGACTTTGGCATCGCATAGTAGATGTTTTACAGCGCTATAGACATAGAAATGACAGTTATGGCGCCTGTGAGGACCTTTGTTTTGATATAATATTTGGCTAGTGTTTTTTTCTGGCTTCTTTTATTTTATTATTGAGGTGTTTTACGTAATAGAACATTAAAATATTTTTGGCGGCACTGCACGACCGTGCTCTAGGGACGAACCGCGCCTGCTATCTATCTATCTATCTATCGATCTATCTATCGATCTATCTATCTATCTATCTATCTATCTATTTATCTATCTATCTATCTATCTATCTATCTATCTATCTATCTATCTATCTATATGTCTATCTATCTATATATCTGTCTGTATGTTTGTCTCTGTCTGTCTGTCTGTCTGTCTGTCTGTCTGTCTGTCTGTCTGTCTGTCTGTCTGTCTGTCTGTCTGCCTGTCCTTTAGTCTCGCCTGTCTTATTGAAGTGATTATGTACATGCATCTTTGCATTATATTTTAAAAATGTAACATTGTTGTATTCTTTCTTATCCCCAGATCTCTTTCTCCTACTCTCTCACTCTTTCACTCTCTCTGTCTGTCTCTGTCGGTCTGTCTGTCTGTCTCTCTCCCTCTCTCTCTCTCTCTCTCTCTCTCTCTCTCTCTCTCTCTCTCTCTCCCTCTCTCTCTCTCTCTCTCTCTCTCTCTCTCTCTCTCTCTCTCTCTTTCTCGCACTTTCTCCTCCCCCACACATGTACATAATACACAAATACAATGACACATATTACTATTTAACTATCTACCACCCTTTTTCTCTTTTTGTCGATGTTCTGTAATACACATCTAAAAACCGTTTCTCATGTCGGATACATGCTCTTCAAACCCCACAATCGGTTGTTATTTCACTACCTCCCAGGATGCAACAATGAACATCGATGACGACGCTGACGACGATGAAGACAAAGGAAATCTGGACTTAAACACGTATATGAACTCTGCCGTCCCCACTTCTGGTTTCCACACGGGAGCCCCTGGCGTCAATGGTGTTTACGCAAACTACATCCAGCCAACGACTGAAGAAAGGTCAGAGGTTCCCCAGTACGAGAATGCTACTGACTTCACCACTGCGGACTTTGTAGACCCGCAGCCAAGAGGTGCAGTGCAGGAAATTGTGGGAGGTCATGAAGCCGCACGTGCTGCATCACAAGGGGGAGACGCCATTTATCAAAATTATATATCTCCGCCATCATCTCAGCTTGTCCCTGACGCACAAGCAGCAACGACTACAACGACGACAACTTCGGTGAGGCAGCTCCGTCAAGTGTTCAGCGAAAGCGCAGAAGGAGTGCCTTCGTCCTTCACCTCCACGCCCAGGTTTGTGGCCGAGAGTACCGAGCACGGGGCGGGGAGTGGCTTCGTGAGGGGCGGGGCTGAGCAGGTCTTCAGGGTGGAGTCACGACGGCAGAGAACAGCTACAGACGGCACTGTTGACTTCCTACCCCCACCACCACCGCCACTGCCTCCCACGCTTTAGATAATAATAATAGACTGTTCACTCATGACGAGAAAAAGAAGTCTATTTAAACGACAACGGTAGCTTGAGCTTTTCTTTGATTCTTTCAGCCGTTGATTTGGCTAAAATGAATACTATCGACAATTAGTGAAGACAGAACCTTAACATAATAGGTACGACACATAATATTATGGTATTTGCGAAAATAATCCCTATAATGCTTTAAAGCTGACGCTGCAGCTATAACACTCACTGCCGAGCGGAAGCAAGAGTGTTAAAATAGTAATGCAGCCTAGGAGATTGCAAACAAAACAAATATATTGAAGCCGATGTTCGTCAGAGAAATGTCCATGAACAAACATTTACTGTGTTCTATTTTTAAACCTGATGGCGTTCTCCAGGCACCGTAAAGCTGTACAGCAAGGATATTTAACTGTACTCAAAAAAAAAATCCGTATTGCATTGTATTAAGCAAGTTTAATAAAGAATAATCAATTACTAAACAACCATACTATTTATTTTTACCTCCGCAGAGTACCCTGTTAATCGAGGTTTAATTAACTTTCCAATCAATGCACCCTTTTGACCACCCATCTAAACGGCACTACGATAACATAATATTATTGTTCCTGTTTTGTACAAAATTACACTTGCGAACACTCCACATTCTGCCTCTACCCTTTTTAGAAATGCCAGGCTTATTGCAAAACTCATAAATTATATTGCATTCATAGTTCAGTGCTACGTATACATCGTGATAAGTAAGCTCAAAGTAATATAGTAGCTTAGACATGCTCTTTATACGGTGACCTGGATTAACATTAGCAAGATCTGCGTCATGATTCTATTTCATAAATCGTTTACAGAGAAAGAAGGTGCTTTGTGTCTACCTTGGTCCTTGATTAACTTCTTTATGTTACTGGCTACTGACATGGAGTAAGGAGAACTTCATACAACCATCATCTAATTGTTGCACTTTCCTTCTTTTTTTTAAACTATAAATGTTGGGTCTTAGTTCACAGAGTAAGCAAACTATTTGGTTCTCTTAAAGCTACCATAGTTATGATAATTGCTTAATTTTAAGTATATCAAGATAGTCTCTAAAACAGGTGTAAGATTATCTTGTAAAGACGTATTTGCAGTGTGTATACCAGTAATAAAATGTTTGTTTTGCTTGTTTGCATCGCTTATTGGATAACAGAGTATATAGGTGGTAGATCCTACACATTTCTGCTGTGAACTAACTATTCTGTTAATGCGACTCCATTCTAATTATCTTTCAAAGAATGAGATAAAACACGTCCAATTGTTATGTGTCAAAATATGGCCAGAATTGACATTATTTCTATAATGTATCTAAGCCTCAGAAGCAAGTCATATCTTATCAAGGGTTATATACTGAGTTGCCTAAGAGACTATTATTCTCCCTCTAGTCTTTCTAAATTATGATATCCTCATTTCAAAATTATCCATCACTCGTCATTTTAGCTTAGAGCGTTAAAATATCAAAAGTACCCACTTTGTGATCTCGTACTTGTTCCACATTCTCCTCTGTTTTCTGTTCTATTTCATAAATCAGGACCCGGATCTCGTTTAAAAAATCTTTGTACCCCATCCCCCTTCCCCCCGTTGTCCATAGTAAATATTATGTCCCTTTTAAATGGGGTATAAAATTTACACTCTGGCACTAATTAGTGTTCGTTTCGGAAGACAAGTGACTTAAAGAACCATTCGAAGAGGGAAAGGATTAATGCTACGCATAGACACAACCAGCCCCCCCCCCCAACCCCAAAAAAAACCAAACCAAAAACAACAACAACCCAACAACACCCCCTAACAAATAAAACAAAAACAAAAAAAAACCCCAAAAACTTTTAGTAGACGAACTTGACTGATTGGTGTATTCAGGAGAACGCATATTCCATTGTATTCTTCAAGTAACAGTTACGTGATTCTATACAACCTTAGATCTATTTCTATTGCTTTTTATACACTTTTCTTACCTTTTTAAAATAAAATTAATACATTCCTTAATACCAAATTGTTTTGTTGATTAGTCTGTTTGAGAAGTAAACTATCATTTTTGATCCGTGAAAAGATCATTAATTGTTTTAAGGTATCCTTGGTTTTAATAATTATTTTTATCTTGTCGTTTACCTTCGTCTTTGAAATGAATTCCTCAAGATTGTGTATTCCCTTCCGATATTTCCATAATGAAAAATGAAAATTTTAGCCCCTGTCTTGCATTGCCTGCAAAACTCCAGGACATTTGTATATATTTATACATTGTTTTTCTATGTTGGTGAGACGAGAGAGTGAGAGACACAGAGAGAGAGAGAGAGAGAGAGAGAGAGAGAGAGAGAGAGAGAGAGAGAGA